TTGCCGCCAGAGACTTTACAGAACTCGACGGGATTATAGTTTCCCAGTTGACGTGTACTCATACGGGATTGTGTTGTATGAGACGTACGTAGAACGCAATGCATACGATGCCGACGAGAAATTTAACCAACCGTGGACTATTCCACAATTTGTCATTGAAGGAAATCGACTCCCCAAACCGGATGGAATTCCAGAAAACTATTGGGAGTTGACTACAAAATGCTGGTCGCAAAGTCCAGCGGATAGACCGACGTTTGTCGACATTCTGAAGACAATTGAATCTTGGGGAGAGAACATCCGATATGCCTTCAGTGCGGACGCTGACAAGAAATTGCTTGGGAGTGAAGGGTCAAGCTCAACGAGTGTGCCTTCAAGTGCTCAGGAACATTCCACCTCAAATTCACAAAACATTCCTTCGAAGTCTGAAGAACACACTTCTGGCTCGGACAAAAAGTCGTCGAACAAAAGCAGTATAAAACTTGAAGAGAATAAACCTGGCGAATTGAAGGAAGTAGTCCTCACTAAGCAGATCAAGAGATCCGAGAGCTCAAGCTCATCATCTGATGATTAATTTTTACGTGTTTTTTCACCTCACTCCACTTAAGGGTTTGTATAGAACCCCATTTAATACTTTACAATAAATAAACATGTATTTACTCATTAAAATGTAGTTACGATATATTGATTGACATAACAAATTTGATGCAATAAAGTACAATATGACAAAATTAAAAAAGCATATTATGTATATGTTCTATGATTTTTTTCATAATGTTTCGATACAATAAAGGAAACTTAAAAAACAAAGAATAGCCAATGACTTACCTCCCTTCTCCACTCATTGCTCGACTCTTCTTCTTTCTCCGAACGATCGACGACGCAATAAATTTGGTATTGGTGTGTAAGAAGTGTTTGATGAGTTCGCTTTCATTGTTAATCAATCCGTATTACCCGATGTATCCCCATTACTCGAAATGTGTTGAAGCTCGTGACGAGCGGAAAGATGTTTTACGCGAACTCCGCCTCTTTCCAAAAATCCAAATTCTTCAATTTCGAAATGAGCTTCAAATGGAAGAGATTCAACCATATAACTTCATTCGTGTGATGACGGGGAAAGTTCCATTTGGACTTGAATCTTTACGTAACAAAATGGTCAAACAAATCGAAGAGTCTTTCTTTGCACCACTCTCAACAAGCTTAAGACAACTCTACATAACAATAGCAATGGAATCACTTCCTGATTCTCAATCATGTGATGGCAATGTTATGCTACAAAGACTTGATTGTGAACTCAAAAACATAACCAATTTGCAATTTCTTCAAACACTGAAACTTAGGTTTGTATCAAGAAATGAAAACATTGTGAATGGTTGCGTGTTACAATCGTCCACTTCATTGATAACGTTTAACGACCGAATACTGTGGGTTGCAGATCATTTCAAAAACAAGGCAATTTCAGTCATTTTCGAACTTGATTTTCCAAACCCAGTTCTTTTAATTAAACTTAAACAGTTGTCCACAAAGTTTGTAATGGTCACCAGCAATGCAATGAATATGGACAAAAATTATTTGAAAG